AAAGAAAGAAAGAAAGAAAGAAAGAAAGAAAGAAAGAAAGAAAGAAAGAAAGAAAGAAAGGAAGAAAGGAAGGAAGAAAGGATTGGTTATGCATCCTCAGGAGTTTGGAGCCTCTCCCTGAACCGTGGGAGAGCCCACTTCCCGCCTCAGTCCTGACTCACAGAAGCATCTGACTATGCTGACCACTCCCCATCAAACGGCCTCTCCACACGCCATCCCCATGGCCTCAGTGTTTAAAATTGCTTTTTAAATTACACAAGACCTATTGGGATATCATAAACAAATACTATAGAAAAAATAAGGCAACATTGAAAAGTTTCCCCTCATTTCCCTACTTCCATTCCCCTCCTCAGGGATAACCTGACAGCGTGTGTCCTTGATCTTTTTGTTTAGCAATACTAGTGGGTGTGAGGCTGTGTGTGCATGCATACAGGAGTTTTAAAACACATAAATGGGCCAAACACGGATTGGCTCAGTGGATAGAGCATCGGCCTGTGGACTGAGAGGTCCCGGGTTCGATTCCGGTCAAGAGCATGTACCTTGGTTGCGGGCACATCCCCAGTGGGGGGGTGTGCAGGAGGCAGCTGATCGATGTTTCAAACTCTCTATCCCTCTCCCTTCCTCTCTGTAAAAAAAAAAATCAATAAAATATATTTAAAAAACAAACACATAAATGGAACCATGCTATACTTAGTTTTCTCCACCTTGCCTTTATCATTTAACATTATAGCAGAGACCACTTTGTGTTAGTTAATAGAGAGCTGTCTCATTCTTTTCATGGTTGCGTGATAGCCCACAACGATATCATATTATACGATACTTTTGTTGCTGGATGCTTCAGTGGCTTCTCATTTTTTTCTCTGTAACAACAATGCTACAATGAACTCCTTTGTAAATATGTCTACCTGGCCTTGAGTATTGCCACTGCCAGAAAACTCCTGGTGTGGGGTTCCAACTATGCATACCCTATGGCACCTCTGCTTCTTCCAGGACTCAATTAGACCCTGGAAGAATGCCCCCTGGCTCGGTGCTGCCTCCACTCTTGCCTCATCATTCTGCTGTGGTGGTCACAGCATACCTCATGGTCCAGACATCACCGTTCTGATGACCCTTCCATGACATAGAAAGGTGCAAAAGTACAGCTGGTATCCCTCTGACCATTTGGAGGAAAGAAATGGGGCCAGCTTCTTCAAATGCAATTCAGCTAGAGAAAGCATGAGGTGGGTGTCTATCAAAGTGGTTTTCAAGATTCTCTTTTGCCCCTGGGATGGAGTGTGGGACTGCAACGGAGTGAATCGCTGACAGAGAAGATAACAAGGAGCTGAAGTGATGCTTGAAGCTCTCCAAAGCAGCAGAGGGAGCTAGGGAGAGTGGTGTGAGTGTGTGTGTGTGTGTGTGTGTGTGTGTGTGTGTGTGTACACATGGAAATGTGTATGTGTGTTTAGCCCTGAACCAAATGTCCTTGGCTCATGGACAGAGAGAGCCAATCTTTGATCTAATGTGTCGTTGTATTTTTTGTCCTTTAAGATTTTCAAGTACCCTGGTCCTGCAAGAAGCAATAGGAGCTAATGAGAAGCAGGCTATACTCTGGGAAACAGGAAATCTGGTTCCATTTATGACTTCACCAGGGCCTGCCATGCGATTCTGAGCAGCTTGTTTGCTGCTCCGTGCCTTCGGCCTCTCTCATCTAGAGGTGCCATCTGCACCTTTGGGACACAGGGGTTAGGTTTCTCATTTTCCCTGCAAAATAGTACTAGTGTCACTGGCTGTTAAAAATGCACAGTCATTTGAATGAGATGTTTGCTGTGGTTGGCGTACCCTGAATGGAAGTTTCCTTCTTCCTTACAGAAGGAACATGTGTTTGTGGTATTGGAGGCAGGGGATGAACTTGCTGTGTGGCAGCCTCCTGAAATGCATTCTTGCACACACAGATGCAAAGGCAGATGTTGACCTGCTCTCTCAACCCTTCAGAGACTCTTCAGGGAATGGTGGTGTGATCACTGTCAGAGTAGAACAATAAACAAATCTGCTTTAATCAGGGATAAGCTATGTGTGGGCAGTTTAAGCAAAACTAAAGTTTGCTCATGGAAAAGTAATTTATTTTGACAAATCAGGATTTTTCAACTGTCTATTGAAGTGGGACATACATACAGAAGAGTGCATGCATCATAAATGTACAGATTGGTGAATGTGCGAAGTGAACACACCTATATTACCCAGGTAGCCACTACTTAAGTCAAGAAGTAGAACATTACGGTACTCCTGAGGACCCCATGCCCCCCTCCCAGTTACTAGTTCTTTGAGGTACAGCCATAACCCGACTTTCAACACTTCATATTAATTATGCCTGTTCTTTTTTTTTACAGCTTGATATGCTATGTATTTAGTTATTAAGGTGGGCAGTCTATTATGCAACATTACAGATATCTTTCAAAACTATAGTAAAATGCAGTCCACTATCTAGCCCAGGAGAAGACAATAAATAAGATCATTCTTATAGTAAGTGTAGCATAAGCACTCATAGTTAGAGTCCCTTTCTTGGACATCAAAGGGGATAATTAATCTGTCAAAGGGTTCTTTACCTCCACTGTGGTGTTAACTTTTTGGAATTATAGCTGTTTCAGAATCAAAGTTCAACTTCATTCACCCTAGAGATGTACATGAATTATGCCTGTTCTTAAACTTTATATAGATAGAGGAAATTTATTCACATTCTGTGAACTCTTATTCATTTATTCTCACTAGTATATATGGTATTCCATGATAGGAATATATCACAGTTGCCCAGCTGGGGTGGCTCAATTGGTTGGAACATTATCTCACACACCAAAAGGTTGTGGGTTCAATTCCTAGTCAGGGCACATATTCAGGTTCCAGGTTTGGTCCTGGTTGGGTGCATACAGGAGGCAACTGATAGATATTTTTCTCACAGTGATGTTTTTTCTCTATCTCCCTTCCTCTCTCTCTAAAATCAATAAACATGTTTTTCTCACATTGTTGTTTCTCTCCCTCTCTCTCCTTCCCTTCCTCTCTCTCTAAAATCAATAAACATGTTTTTGGGCGAGGATTAAAAATAAAGAATTAAACTTAAAAAAAGAGAGAAAAGAAATACACCACAGTTTATTTATCCCTTCTATGCTAATGAAATGTGGGGTTGTTTTGGCTATTTTAAATGATGCTGTATGAACAGTGCAGACACTTCTGTTGCGGACATTCCTACAAGCGAAATTGCTGGGCCCCAGTGTTTGCATACATTCAGCTTTAATGGACCTTGGAAACAGCAATGAGTGAGAGTTGGGAATGTATTTTTGACGGGTGACAGAGCACAGAGCTAAGACCAGGCCCCAGGCCTCTGGTCCCCTCCCAGGCTTGAATTACAGGGCAGCCAGAGCAAACGGACTGTCAATTGGAAATAATTGGTACCTGCTCTAGTACTTGCTGTGGGTGGGAAAGCCCTCTGGGAAGGCTGGAGCTGCTCAAGTGTAAGCTGTCATTAAAATGAGAGCAAAGGAGGGAGGCTCTTAATTATTAATGAGAACTAAAGAAAAACTATGTTTATGTGAATTTCCATTTCGAATTAAAAACCCAGAGATTAGATTAACTGCTCTGCTAGACAGAATTGTAGTGCCAATGGGGCCTGCTGTAGTATTATTCTCTCAAACCCAAACGCAGTGAGTAACCTCCCAAGCCTGCCCTCGGTATCTCAGTAGAAGATCCCTCAACTGCCTGGAGTCCCAGGGGTCCTCCCAGTTTTTTCTCAGTCGCCAACTGCCCCAGCTTCTTCCTTCTCCTGCATCAGCCTGAGCTGGCCTGATCCGGAAAAACTGGTTGGGCTGTGCCTGACTAGACCAGTTACAACACACCAGGAAACCAAAGGTCGCAGTCATTTTATGTCTGCAGTATCGAACATAAAGTGTGAGTGCTGTCAACGAGGTGCTTTGGTCTCATAGTAAAACTAAAAGTTCATGGGCACTTATTTTACCAAAATTGAAATCAGGGGCTGTAAAAAAATAATTAATTGAAAGTGCTGTCAAAATCTCTTCCATCCTATTGGTTCCCATGCGGATTGTTACACAAGTAGAAGGCAGCGCCCTCTTCTGGCCAATGCCACACTTGCAAGGCTTAACCAAGGGGATTGCCAACTCACGGGACTGATATTTCACTTGGGAGCAGGATCCCTTGGGATGAGTCTTAAGTAAAGCATGTTTGGGGACACACCCTCTTCAAAAAAGAAAACTCAAAACTGTGATGGTTATAATGGGACTAAGAAGTATTAGTTGGTAGTTACACAATAGGCAGGGGGGTGAAAGGTAAAGCCTAGGGAATACAGTCAACAATGTTGTAATAGCTACCGTATTTTTCCGTGTATAAGATGCTTTTTTTTTTCCTTTCCTAAAATCGTTAGACTGAACATCGAGGGGCGTCTTACACATGGAAAAATACGGAGGGAGCTGAGGAGGAATCCTCACGGGTGCCTAGCTGCCCATACCTTGTCAAACAGGCTTCCTCCAACCACAAGCCTTATTGTTAGTGACGTCAGCTGATGCCAAATTGGAGGTGGAGGTGGAGAGTGCGCAGATGCAACAGGGACTGGAGTGTTCTGAGCCCATAAATATGTCAAAAAATACAAAGATAAGTACCTGTAAGCGATTGTCTTACTCTGCAAAAGTCAAGCTGAATGTAATCAGCTATGCAAAAGAGCATGGAGATAGAGCTGCAGAGAGACAATTTGGACCTCCTCCCACTGAGTGTATGATCAGTGGAGAAAACAAGAAAATCAACTCCTTAAGATGCCAAAAAAGAAGTCCTTAAGAGGAAAACCAGCAAAATGTTTAAAATATTGATATCTTAATTTTGGGTTGGAAAAGTGGCGGGCATCTTATACATGGGGGTGTCAGGCGGACACTTAAAATATCAGAGGGAACAGTTTGTAATCTATGTGACTATCCACTGTGTGTACACCTGAAACTAATATGAAAGTGTTGAATGCAAACTGTAATAAAAAAAAAAACGGTGATGGTTGATTTTATGTGTGATTAACATTTAAATGGGTACTTTTGTTTTTTACCTTCCATAATGTGGGTGAGCCTTATTTTTTAAGAGTAAAAACTGAAGTTTCCTAAAGAAGAAATTCTACTTATAACAGTGACATCTCCTTTGAACAAACATAAAGAGACACGAAGTGTAGCAATTGATCTTTTGATTTGAGGTTTAAGTCCCTGGTCCTATCCAGATACTTAATCATACTTAGCTTTGGTTTCTTTGTTTGTATAAAGAATAAAATAGTAACATTTACTGAATAGGTTGTTATAAAGATGAAATATGAGAAAACATGTGCTTAGGATAGTGCCTGGCTCAGAGTAAGTACTTGATAAATGTTAGCAGTTATTATTATTAAGGTTACCGAGGGAAGCTGTCAGAGAAGAGTGAGGGGTACATGGAAGGGTAGCTAGTCCCGTTCACTCCCCCGGCCCTTGTCTCCCAAAGCCCACATGGACAGGCGGTCTCTGCTTTTTACCATCTGTTCCTGGGACATTAATACACAATTTCTTATTAAGTGCTGATCTCCTCTCATAGGAACCCAATCAAGATGGAAAGACAGATTCCACATTAAGGACTAAGTCATAGAAGAAACCATTCTTATGGTACAAAGGCCAAGTTCAGCAAATGTTGGTAACATTTAAAACAGTAAAATTATTCTTTTAACACTTAACATGGGGCCTCTATAAAATTTAATCTTTTTCTCCACAATGCAACTTACGGATTTAATTAGAAGTTTTGTTTGCTTCTCACAAGTGAGAAGAATTTTTGCAAGATGATTTGGTTGGTCAAAACCTGTTTCTAAAGCTAGCCAATGATCCCTAGGTGGGGGGATTTTGGTTAATTTATATTTTCTTTCTTTCCTTTTTTTTTTTTTATATGTGTCTGCCTTTCATTAGCTGATTCACCAGAAGGACCCACAAGAGTCATCAGCAGGTTACACACTTACTGAGATTTATTATAGCAAAGGTACATAGCAAAAACAGTAGGAAAAGATATGCATTAACGGGGTCCAGACAGGTTCAACACAGGCTCCCAATGTCATTCATTGTCTGAGGCTACACAGGGTACTCCTCTCGCCCTTTAACTATGGGGACATGTGTGGAATGTGTTTGCACGTGGAAGCCTGTTTGAGTCTCAGAGTCCGAGGCTTTTATGGGGAGCTGGTCACGTAGGTATATTTTGCTACGCAACCACCTATGACAAACAAAACTCAGGACCCTAACAATGAAACCAGGTGCACATTGTCGATTTTGATGTTTGTGCAAAGGAACCTGACAAGCAGGTATAGCCATTGCTCCAGGTGTACAGAACCAACCCATCAATCACTAACAGAAAGAACACTCTAGAGACTGCATTCCCAGCACTGGCCCAGGGTTAACCATGGGTCCCTTGGAGACATGTAAGGAGTAAGCAACCAGATATGCTGTGTTAACTCTTTCCTCTCGGTCTGTATTTCCTAAAATGCCCATAATGAACCAGTATTACTTTTATAATCAGAAAAGTAACCATTAATATAAAGGCACCCACCGTTAATGATTTTCTTTTTTGGTGACTTCATGACGCTGCTGTGTGATCTCAGTACATATCTCTATAATCGCGAGAGCTGCCGAGAGAAGTGAAGTCACCCTCCTAGACGTGTCAGTGATGCCCACGGAGCCTTTTACGGAAAACCACACAGGCCAGGACAGAGCACGTGAGACCGAGGAGGGACCACAGCAACAACACCTGTCAACTTCCCCAACTTAGAGATGAGGAAGTGGGAACACCGAGCAGTTAAAGGACTCACTCACGGTTCTAAATCTTGGGTGTTTTCTATTTAAAATTTCTCTCAGAACTCCTGAAGTGGAATAAGGCAATGTCTGCTTTGTGGCTTCTGATTGTCTTTTATGTGGGCAGAGCTGGAGGAGCCATGACTGGCGGAGCTGCCCGAACCAAGTGTGCATGGTCCCATCTGCTTTAGTCTCAGCCATAGGCTGCCCATCCTTCCCCAGGGCCCTGCCCATGCTATTGGGGTCAGTGGTCCAGTTTGAACCCAGAGATTAGTTCCATCTTCACTAAAATTTCCCCTTCACGGCCTCTTGTAAGTTGGGGGAAGGGATGTCTGTCCCCACGGGACTGCAATTTCCTCGAAGGCCTCCTGGAACCAGGTTATACGGTGGTTATAATTGTGGGTAGTGAAATGAAGTGATCCCAGGTTTGAATTCTGGCTTAGCATCTCAATGGCTTGTGTGATTTGATTACCTAATGGAAATAATAGTACCTCTGTCACAAAGTTATTGAGGGTGTGAAAGGATGTAATAATTACTTAATTTTATTTATTGATTTGAGAGAGAGAGAGAGAGAGAGCGAAACATTGTTCTGTTGTTCCACTTGCTTATGCATTTATTGGTTGATTCCTGTATGTGCCCTGATTGGTGTATCAGGATGATGCTTTAACCAACTGAGCTCCCTGGCCAGGGCAGTAGTAATAATTCTTAACTAGCATAGAGTTTGGCATATTAAAAGTGTTCAATAAATATTAGCTATTATTTTTTAAATAGGTACTGTTTCAGAAAACTATTTTCTGATCTTTTAAAAACAGTTTTATTGAGGTAATTGACATAATATACACTATACATGTTTAAAGTATACATTGTCATAAGTTTTGACATGTGCATACCTGTGAAACAATCACCATGATCATATGCATAACCCCCCAAGGTTTCCTTATATCCTTTTGTAATACCTTTTCCTGTCCTCAGACTATTTCTGTCTGTCTCTACATATCAGCTTACACTTTCTAGACTATTATGTGAATTGAATCATATTTTGACATTTACCCACATTGCTGGGCGTGTCAATTGCTCAGTAGACATACTACAATTTGTTTATCCATTCACATACTGATGGACATTTGGGTTGTTTCTGTTTTGAAGTATTAGAAATAAAAATTCTATGAAGATATGTGTACAAATCTTTGTACAGACATATACTTACATTTGTCCTAAAGTATAATGGGTGGGTTATAAGTATGTATCTGTTTAAGTTTTTAAGAAACTGCCAATTTGTTTTCCAAGCATTCATACTATTTTGCATTCCCACCAATAGTGTATAAGGGGGTCCAGATGTTCCACATCCTCGACAGCGGGAACACCCTCAGGTAGTCTTGCCGTGGAAACGGAGTTATTCAGACAGAGTTCCTGTAGTTAAACACACGAGGGAAATATTGGGTTTCTTTACAATAAGACTGGTTAATGCCTTGTATGCTGGTGGTACCTTCCCACCAGTAGGTTATCATATGTAGTCTCCTCAAACTTCCTGACCATGGAACTCTTTATTTGAAGTGCATCTCTAGCAATTAGTGTTCTACAGAATATGTCTTGGGAAATGCGGTCTCGGGGGCTGCTGGGAAATGTAGATGTTACCATAGCAGCCATACACTAAGCAGTTGATCTGAAATCCCCTTGTGTACCATTTAAGGGGTAAACATTCTGCTTTTCTGGGTTAGAAAGAAAATTATGACAAGAAGCCAGATAGGGAAATTGAAGATACTCAGGATGTGAGCTGACCAAATTATCCAATCAAGGGTTTCTCTAATTTCCCTTTTGGAGTAAATCCAGGGGTGAGACCCCACCCCCCAATCAGCACAGTGGGGACAATTTCTCACAAATGGCTTATAGATCGCTGCATAATCAAGTGCTTTGAAAGGTATTAAGATTATAAAAAGGAGACTTCCTCTTCCACCAGGCTGGGAACATATGCCCAATGAGACCTCAAGGAACCCAGATCTCCTTGCCAAGGATCGCCCTGATATGGTTACCCTGGAGGGCCAAGCGATTCTAAAGACTTGCAAGTGAGTTTATTGGAGCCCTCTGCATTTCCCAATGGGAGGGCAGCTAACTTAATCTAGTAGACAAAACAGAGTAGAGCTGATCATAGGTTTTCTACCCTATTGCATTCCTTTAAAAAAATGTGTGTATTGATTTCAGAGGGAAAAAAGGGAGGAAAGAGAGAGAGAGAGAGAAAGAGAGAAAGAGAGAAAGAGAGAGAGACATCAATGATGAGAGAGAATCACTGATTGGCTGCCTCCTGCACACCCCGCACTGGGGATCCCACTGGGGATCGAGCCTGCAACCCAGGCATATGCCCTGACCAGAAATTGAACTGTGACCTCCTGGTTCATAGGTTGACGCTCAACCACTGAGCCACGCCGGCCGGGCCCCTATTGCATTCCTTTTCACATCTTCTGTCTCCACGCCATCAACATGTAGGCACGAACCTGCCCAGATTCCTGGCCCATTCCTTCCTACGCACAAGGGAAGCCTTTTTCTTGCTCCTCTGGCATCCTCTTCCTGGCACCTTTCCCCAAGTTGTCACCTGCCTAAATCCTGCTCATCCTTCAGATTGCAGCACAAATGTTGTTTTCCCGGTGAACTTTACCTGACTCCTACATACTAGGTTATACTTTCCCCCCATCACTTCTCGTAAGTGTAATTAAAATTATTTAATGATTGTCTCTTCCACTAGCATGTGAGCTGTGTGAGGGCAGAAATAGTTCGACAAGTTCTCTCCCCAACTACCAGCACACAGCACAGAGTAAGTGGCCGTAAGTAAATGTGGAATGGTTCAAAAACCTAGGTGCTGATCATTTAATTCAGGGCTGTTCTGTCTCCCTTTGTCCGAAGTCAAAGTCTTCTCAGTTCCCTTTGTCCAAGGTTCAGATCCTCCCATACTCCCTCCAAGACACGCCTCTAATCTATCCCCTGATCAGAACAGTTGACGTCACTGTATACAGGCTAGTCTCTCAGGTAATCTGGAGCCAAGGAGCCTGGGAAAAGCAGCATTCTCCTAAATATGAGGTTTTCGGGGGAGGAGGGGGCTGGTGGAAGGCAAAGTGGGTAAATGGGGTCAAATACATGGTAACAGAAGGAAACGAGACTTCAGGTGGTGAGCACACAATAGGGTATACAGATGTCAGAATTAGGATGTTGTATACCTGAAATTTATATAATGTCACTAAGTTACCTCAATAGAATTATTTTCAATGAGGTTTTCAGTGCTTGTAGTGGGTCTGAGATTCTGTAATGAATAGCTCATGTGTACTCGCAAAACCCAGCAAGAATGACCATGTAGCTGCGGGCAGCCACGAAGCGGTTATGTTCGCAGGTATGCTGCTGCCGTCACCGGGCACAAGTCCTGGAAAGCTGTTCTGGGTGCGGGCATTCTCTGGAATGCTGGGAACAGGGCTAGTCAGAGGTGGCATAGTTACACTAACTGTTTCAGTCCGTTCCTTGCCTGCCTCTCATCTCTCCCCACAACCCATGTACATACCCAGGCCTGAAGCCTGAGATTTCCTTAGCCCATCTCCAAAGTCAATTGCTTTCACACAGGGTATGGATGTGATTAGGAAACTACGGCTAGGGTCCAAGTAGCTGGAGGTGAGGGCAGCCTCCCTCTTGCACACTCTGGGAGACAGGACTGTTTCTAGTGCGAGGTACTTCGAGGCACTGATGCAGACCTGCATCGTAAGGGGGAGAACAGGCTCTGCCTTTGACAAAGCCGAGTTGTACCCTTGACTTGAAGCTGTTGCGAGGACCTAATGAGATAATGTGATTGCATCCTTTAGGACACTTTATGGTACATCGTTAGTGCTCAAAACATGGTGTTTCACGATTAGGTGCTCCTCGGGTGTTTTCAGAGTAACCTATGCCTCCTGCCTCAGTAACATCACGCTGGCTGTAATGGCCTGCTCATGGCCCCGGTCAGGTGCTCAGTGGGTTAGAGCGTTGTCCCATATGCCAACGTTGCCGGTTTGATCCCCAGCCAGGGAACAGATGGGAGTCAACCAAGGAATGCATGACTGTGGAGCAACAAATCAATGTTTCTCTCTCCCTCATTCCTCCCTTCTTTCCCCCCTCTCTCTTTAAGTCAGTCAATAATTTTTTTTTAATGGCCTGCTCACTTTTCTCTTTCCTCTGCTAGACTAACACCTAGAAAAGTGCCTTCCAGGTCTCACCAGTTCTCATCTGTTGAGTGCTTATCAATCAAGCACTAAGTCCTTTACATGGATTACTTCATTTAATTCTCAAAACCTCATGAAGCTGGGAATTATCATTATCTCCATTTTATAGAGGAAGAAATGAAGGCACGAAAAGGTTAAGTTCATGCAAAAGTAGGGTTTCAGTTGTTCGTATGGAAAATAATACAATAATCAATCAATAATAATTAAGAATAAACAGTTTTTGTGTACTCACAACTGTAAATGTACTTTTGACCCACCCTGTACCTGGCGAGTGGTGGAGCCAGTATTTAAACAGAGCTGGTCAGCTCCAGAACCTGTGCTCTTTACCACTGCACCCCACCTACGCCGCACTCCAATGTATTTTCCTCTTACCTAACATCACCGAGGAACACGTCATCCTGTTGTCTCCTCCTGTGCTTGTGGGGCTCAGTGTTCTGTGATTCTCCTTGTGCTGGCCCAACACAAAGCCTTACACAATGGAAGGCTTCACAATAGCCTCTGCACGTCTAGTGCTGGGTGTGGCTTGCTGGGTTTATGTTGCAATTATGCTCTTTCACAAAAAATCTCTTGGTGCTGTTGTCAGACTCCACACTAGACTCAGTGGCCCGCTGCACAGACCCTGTATGCTCACAACTGTTTTTTTCCTAAAGCAACCGAGAGCTTCGCTTTAGCATGAAGGAAATCACACCAGCTCTAGGCCAGCCGTGGGCAAACTACGGCCCGCGGGCCGGATCCAGCCCGTTTGAAATGAATAAAACTAAAAAAAAAAAAAGACTGTACCCTTTTATGTAATGATGTTTACTTTGAATTTATATTAGTTCACACAAACACTCCATCCATGCTTTTGTTCCGGCCCTCCGGTCCAGTTTAAGAACCCATTGTGGCCCTCGAGTCAAAAAGTTTGCCCACCCCTGCTCTAGGCACTACTGTTACATGTCTCAGGATCTGTCACCACTACAGTTAGGCCTTTCTCAGAGAGCCTGGGTGAAACTGGGGTTTCCTTTCAATATTAGCTGCTCAGATTCCATATGTTTTTAGAAAAACATGTGAACTATACATACAAGAGTATCACAGGTTTTTGGAGTTAAATAAATACAATGAATACTCACGTATAGCCACCACCCCCTCGACAGAATATTATCAGACAGTACCAAGTCCTCCAGGTCCCCCACCCCAGTCACATCCCTCCTCCAGCCCCCCTCGGGTAATGCAATATGCTTTTATTATATGAGAGTATGAATAGAGAGTGATGATTTTCAGATAAATAAGTCAGATGTGATTCTTCAGTCCTTGTTAAGAAAGGTGCTAACAGCAAATGCATATTCAAATTTAGGGTATTTTGAGGTTTCACTGTCTATTCACTCCTATTTTCAGTGAGCTGTTTCCGATTCTAACTTCACAAACCCTGCAGCATAATGGTGTACCGAGAACAGCTGTGTCACAAAATGTGGACAACGTGCAAAATGAATTTTTGCCAGTTGGGGGACAGGCACTTGAATGGCAACAGCTGTCGGAATGTGAAGCTGACAGGGTGCTACAGATGGTGAGGAGCTGTAGGAGGGAAGAGGGAGTATCCCGTTAAGCCAGCACCAAGCAACAAAGAAAAAGTGTTTCCTGCAACGTGTGAGAAACTGGTGTAACTATGTGAAAGAACTTGGCTGTGGTAGTAGGCATCCTACTAAACAGCCTGATGAGTACTAGTGTGCTAACTCATGCAGCCTTTAATCCTTAGAGGAGAGCTACAGGTCCTAGTATTAAAAAATGTGCCCCAACCCAACCAGCATGGCTCAGTGGCTGAGTGTCGACCTATGAACCAGGAGGTCACGGTTCGATTCCTGGTCAGGGCACATGCCCGGGGTTGCGGGCTCAATCCCCAGTGTGGGGTGTGCAGGCAGCTGATCAATGATTCTCTCTCATCATTGATATTTCTATCTCTCTCTCCCTCTGAAATATATATATATAAATTTTTTAAGTGCCCCAAACACCAAACTATTGAGAACTAGTACTTCAACCAATAGGCATTTCTGAAGCGGTTTAACACGTTTTTATCACTTACTCCTGCCACTAATGCACCCTCTGAAATAATTTCACTGTCTCCTCCCCCCCGCGGTTACTGTGATTTAGAGTCATGTCAGCCCAGGTCTGGAGGAAATAAAATGCAATTGTACCATAGATTTGGTAATGTTTGTATGCAGCAGTTGAAAGAAGCCACCCTCTCTCAACAAAAAAAAAACTGGAAATAATTTCAGTGCTACTCAGTTTATGAGAGGATTAAGTTAGGAAAAAATTTGGAACTTTTAAGGGAAATTGCTTTCAGAATTGGGGGAAAAGAGACACAGGTCATGAGGCAGAAACTGTTGGCAAGATGCCCAGAAAAGTAGGAAACCTTATTCCCCTCTCTCCTTCTCGAAAGAGCTTCTCTATCCCCACAGAAAGCCTGGCTTCCTGTCCGACTGAAATGTGCTCCCTTCTAGCTTTGGGATTTGCTGAAGGCCATGCAGCTGCAATGAAGTGACTTGGATGCAGTATAAGAACAAATAATATATGTGAACCAAAGGATCAACTTTGAGGCTAAGACATGATTTTCAGGACAAGTTTTTTATCTCAGGAAATAAACACAGAAAATCTTCACTCGTATTTTTTGTTATAGTTAGAACCACCATATAATTTATCCTTCAAACCAGGACACTTTTGAGAATACATTGCGTGTGCTAATAATAACTATGCCTGAACAACATAAACCAGAATCGTTCCAGGAAAACTGGAATATCTGACCACTTACAGTGCAAGGTTGATGTTCAATAAATGTTAATGTATTGTCATGTTGTGTAACATTTAGCCCTCAAACTTGACAAACTAAAAAAAAAAAAAAAAAAAAGGAACATTCATATAGATACTATTCAACGTGTATTCTTTTTGTTATGCCCAGATTTCAAGATCCCCAATAGACCATCAGGGAGCCAGCCAAGTCCGATGCAAAAGCAGAGAGTCTTTTATTATTATTACAGACCCAGGTCTGGCTCTCAGCCTCCACTGACACGGCGAGACGAGATAGACGACCGTGGGGAAAAATGGGGTTTTAATAGGGGGGTGGAGTGAGGGGAGGAGAGATGACCGTGGGCCCTGCCGATTGGCCAGGCGCAAGTGGGGCCTTGTTACACAGGCTATGGCGCGCACGTCCTTTGATTGTCATTGGTCAGTTTAAAGAAATCCCGGGCGTGGCCAGCAGAGGCCTGGGCCTCCGGGAAGAAGGTACCTTCCTGAGCACATGGCTGCTGCCCCAACATGGAGGATACGGGGCAAGATGGAGGGCATAGCCCTCGCCCTTTCACTTTTAGTTATGCAAATACACTAAATAGACCCCTTTGTCTAGGGAAGGAAGAATGTTCCATTTTCCTGTGGTACTTTGAGCAATATTATCTGTGTTACAGTTAATAAGGAGCACAGGAAGCTAGTCAGTTGTACCAAATCATTGCAGAACTGTGCTGAGCTCACAACTCTGCCCCTCAAATCCCCAGCAATTGTGCTGCTCACTGAACCGTGAAGCTTGCCATCTAGAACTTGGTGGGATTTCTATCACGGATGCCCCCAAAGTGGAGAGTTGTTACCACCTTTCAAATAAGAAATCTCGTGAAAGCCTTGGCTGGGTAGCTCAGTTGGTTAGAGCATCATCCTGATACACCAAGGTTGTGGGTTCCATCCTCAGTCAGAGCACGTACAAGAAGCAACCAGTCAATGCATAAACAAGTGGAACAACAGATCGATGGCTCTCACTCTCCCTTCCTCTCTCTCTAAAATCAATGGGGGGAAAAAATCTCATGAAGTTTGTAAAGAGGTTCTTCCTAGTTCACATTACTATACTCCTTTTTGTACCACTTCTATAAAAAGCTCAAGTACAAGTCCTGATCATTAGTCATGTACTTTGGTCTTTTTTTGGTAAAGATTTCTTTGGGCATTCAAGGGATCCAGGTATTAAGCATAGTCCTTGGGATTTTTGTGTGTTACGGTAACTAAGCAACAGTGGAGATGTTTTAACTTAGCATGTCCTGTGTTGGCAAGTTTAAAAAAGAACTGTCAGGCCATACTTGGCAGAACCTCCCTTGGACTCCCCCACCGTCTATACAGTTTCTGTACATCTTGGCTGCTCATCCACTGCTAACAGAGACCTCTTCTGTCTCAGCCACTCTGACAGCCTTGCTTGAGTCTTTCCCCTGCAGGGCAGCTGGACACCCAATGTCTTCAATAACTGGCAGGACTGGAACTAACTAGGGGTCTGATCATTCAGTAGCTTTTACAATTCTCACATCCACATCTTAAATCTACTCTTAACTGCTACCCCTTGGACATTATTTGCTTTTGCTTAAGAAAATATAACTAAGTCCTTCGTTTAAGAACTGTGCCAAGCCACTAAACTGGAAGGACATACATCTCAAACATAAACACTAGCTTTTTAAAAGTGAATATCCAATAAAACTCATTCAGTGACAAAATGTGTGAAAACGTCTGCTACAAAACGTTCGATGGACATACCTTCCAGGTGTACAATTCTGGAAACAGAATTACAGCACTAAGGCAGCCATGGCAGGAATATATAATAGAGAACCTGTTCGTAGGAAAGCAGCATTCTGCAGTGTAGTGGTTTACAGCAAAAACTGTGATATCAAGTTGCACACAAGATTCTGTTCCCTAACATATGACCTATGTGGTATCTATAGCTTAGCCTTAGTTTCATCATCTGTAAATTGGGGATAAGAACTGTCCTTGTCTTAGAGGTTTGTTGGGAGGCTTAACCAAGACTGTTCTGGGTTTAGTAGTGTCAACTAGACTTATTTCTGTTTCCTCCTAGAGTGCATCTCAAAGGCAGGAGTGTTAAAAATTGATGTAAAATATACCTAAGAGCTCTCATTATTAGCTGCCAGGACATGAAACTGTAAGAATAAGGACAATACCTGAAGCTCAATTTAACTTGGCCTACCTAAGAGTTTAACTGGTTGAGTGTTATCTTAGCAGTTTCCCAAAGCTTTGGAACCTCCTCAGTGGTGTTTTAAGAGGACAAGTCAGGATGTCTGGTGGATGAGAGAAGGCAAGGATCTAAACTGGTAATCAAGGAACTGCATAAAAAAAGTATTGGAAGCTTGAACAAAATGTAATCTTGTGGAAAAATCCTAAATATTTATGACTAAAGAGCTGGTGTCATCATTTTATGTAGTATGACCATGGGAATTTAACCTCTTTAAAGGTTTCTTTTTTTATTTTAGAAAAAAGAGTATCTTTTAAATCTAAGTGAGCTTTAAGGAATGCTAGTCTAAATAACCATTTAAAATTGTCTAACATAAAACATGACCATAGCAAAAACTTAACAAAATGTTAAATTTCCTCATTTCTTATGTGACACTAACATTTTAAGCATGGCTTAGAATTCTAGATGGCCTGAGATCCTATTATACTTGTGAATCTGATTAAGATTTTAGCAAATCTCAACTAGGAGACATCGTTATCTATTTTTAAAATTTAAAAGCAGCAAATTTTTGTCTCCCCAAACAACTTATCTTTAAGTGCTATAGAGCAAATGTGTACCCCACCAAATTCATGTTGAAGCACTAATCCACAATGTGAGGTACTGGGAGATGGGACCTTTGGGAGGTAATTAGGTTAGAACAGGCCACGAGGGTGGGGCCCTTATAATGGGATTAGTGCCCTTGTGAGAGACATCAGAGAGCTTCAACAGAAGTCTCCCTCACTTCCCAGCCTCCAGAACTATGAGAAAGAAATTAATCTTGTTTAAGTCACCCAGTCTGATATTTCGTTATGGCAGCCCAAGTTGACTAATACAGTAGGTAAAATACATGAAGTGGAAGAACAGACCTGGCTAGGTAGCTCAGCTGGTCAGAGGGCTGTGGTGATATGCCAAGGTGTCGGGTTTGATTCTTGGTCTGGATACATACGAAAGTTAACCAATAAATGCATAAATAAGTAAAACAACAAATCAAAGTTTCTCTCTAAAATCAATAAAAATAAAGTTGAAGAATGGGATTGCTCTAGTGAAAGCAGGGAGCAGAAAGGAAGTAAGCTTTACCTGCTTGGTCCCCTCCTCAGCTGGAGCCCCAGGGCACCACAAAACACAGTATAAAAAGTTTAATGCACCAGCATAAAAACCTGCCCAAATATGAATAATGCTGAAGTGCTACAGACACAAACTCTAGGAGATGGCCCAAATTCTCTTCTGGTATTGAAATTCTATAGCATCGCCTTATTGAAAATAAGGCGATGCTAATAGTTAGGATTCTATATTGCTTTACAGATTTGCTGCAAAAGGGTGCTAAGTTTTAGTATGGTGGTAACAAAAGAAGCTGCTTGGGCCTTGGCTGCTGTGGCTCAGTTGGAGAGTTGTTCTTTATACTGAAAAGTTGTGGGTTCCTGGTCAGGGCACATACCTAGGTTGCAGGGCACTTACGGAAGGCACACAATGTTCTCTCTCACATTGATGTTTCTCTCCCCCTCTCTAAACCAATAAGCATGTCCTTGGGTGAGGATTAAAACACACCAAACCTACTTGGGTCAGGTACCCAGGAAAGAATGCTTGTTAAAGCAATGTCACTTCACAATGGGGGGGAAAACTGCCATTCCCAAGTGGTCTTATATCTCACAGCTTCATCTTATTTCTCACAGCTTCTAGGGCAGTGGTCGGCAAACTGCGGCTCGCGAGCCACATGCGGCTCTTTGGCCCCTTGAGTGTGGCTCTTCCACAAAATACCATGTGTGGGTGTGCATGTACAGTGCGATTGAAACTTCCTGGCCCATGCGCAGAAGTCGGTATTTTGTGGAAGAGCCACACTCAAGGGGCCAAAGAGCCGCATGTGGCTCGCGAGCCGCAGTTTGCCAACCACTGGGGGATATGAAATAAGACAACAAATGCAATTTAAAAAGTTAATAGTTGCATTTTGTCCAATTATAAGGCAAAAAGCAGAACTCCCTTTCCAAAGCACAACATACTATAAATTATTCATTCATTCACAGTCCCTTCACAGTGGGGTTAAAGAATGGCCAGTAACCCCACACCCTCTGTGGAAAGGAAATGGCAAACTATACCAAATTCAAGAGTGTGATTGTCACTAATGGTACAGCAGTTAGGGAAAGAGCAAAACTGTCTTTCATAAAAGAAAGCAGGGATGGTGGCAGCTGGGGCAGATAGGAAGGGTTCCCTAACTTTGTATATAGATAACTTGGTTACAAAGAACAGCTTGGCCTTGAAGGGAGAAGAGGAAATCCTCACAGTGGCACAAGTTGCTAAAAGAGGGTTTGTGGAGGAAGGGTTGTTCCCAGAGTGCCTATATAAATGCCTCTGAATGCAGGTCACACACAGAGGGGTGACTCAGGCCCTTTGTCTTTCTTTCTGTCAATAAATTTGCAGTTAATTAGGCTCTGGACTTGCTCGGGTAAGCCCAGAATTGGGCCTAAGAATAAAATACATGGAAAAACTGTGAAGCCATGAAAATACATTTTTTTTTAAAAGTTTTCAGGTATAATACACAAAAGCAAAAAAGTTTATCTTTAAAAATATCAAGTATCACATCCATTGTCTAGTCCTAATTATAATTACTTCTTAAAGCAACATTTGTCTTTGTTTACAAATACAGCAGCAGGTGATAAAACCTAACGTCTCAAACACATTGCTTACAGTTCATAATACAAATGTATATGTCTCAAATCACATTCTAGGCAGTTTAACTTAAAATGCATAGACAATTACATACATTAAATTTGTCATTAAGTCAATGGAAAAATAACAATATCAAGAAAAAAATACAGAAAACCTTTATAGAGCACAAAGAAATCAAGTTTACTTAATGGCAACAAATCAGTATCCGCTAATCAATGACAGGCAGTGAAAGTGCCTTCATCCAGGGGAAAGTAAGGAGGAAAAACATCCCATTACTTTGCATGCTTGAAAAGTTATACTGACAAAACCATAGTCTTGGAAAACACTAACTTCTTACTTCAAAAAGAAAAAAAACGTATAGGCATACGTTGCTCTTTAAAATGCCCAAAGGCTGGTGTATAATTTCCACCAGCAGGAATACCAAAATATGTTGATGTAGGTTAAACTGATAACGGGCACACTTAATGAATTCTGTGATGCCACCCCTAGACTGGGACCCTCTCAAGGACAGGCATTCGCTTTCATCTCTATATCTCTGCATCTGGCAAAGCACCTTGATCACAGACATTTAAGTGTCTGCTGGATGAATGCAGTTCTCAGTAATAGTCAAAAGCCAGAAGATTGCATGGCATTTCTTTAATACTGATCATTTTATTGGCAATTTTTATTTTACTTGGTAGAATTCTGAAAATAAAGTGTCTTCATACTAAATATTGCTCTATTAGGATTAAATTATAGTCTTCCCTAAAAGCCATCCACCACTTTCTAAGTGCGTCAGCATGATTCATCTGAGTTGAGCCTTCTGCTTTTCAAAAACGTTAACACTGGAAGGTCTGTGCTCAGGTTTAATTCCCAGGATTTATAGCTGTGGCACTTAAATAAAACCAGCACTAGATTATTCAGGGTAAGGAAGGAAGACATGGCACTCATTGTTTACAAGTGTAGGCAACTGATTGATAGGCAAACTAGGCACAGTATTTTATTGAACCTTTGAGAACTATGTTCACCTACACAAAACTTCAAAAGCTGTACATCTGAGTACAATAGGTAGCACTAATTATTTATGAGGTAAAATATGGGCACAACTGACTTCTTTCCCAGAAAATATTCTAATATTCCATTGTAGTGGTATGACAGACCAAGGCCAAAAACTCACCCTTTTTCTTCTCTGTTCTATTACTGTTATCTACTCAAAACAATAAACAGTAAAATGGACAAAGAAGGGAGGAAGCCCTTGGGTAATTAAAAATGTCTTGTTTTTTCCAGCTAAGAGCCATGGACTGCGGTGATCTCACCAGGCACAAGCTCCTGCGAATATACTTTGAATACACTAAGACATGCAGATAGCATCATAGAGCTGAGCCCCCAGAGTGGGCCCAGTGGGGAGCAGCCAACTCAAATGGAAACAGAAGAGACAGAAGCCAGCTCGCATGGGTCCCTGATCGCAGGCAATTTTTCTAGAGAAGAGGAACTGTCTTCCCAGATGTCCAGCTTTACTGAGGCCGTGACTCAGAACAGGGAGCTGGAGGAGAGGACCATGGGAGAGCTCAAGGAGATTAAACAGCAAGGGCCAAGGGCCAGGCTGGCTTGAGCTCTCCAAGATGACGGAGCAGCCAGACTATGATCGGGAAACCTTTGTGAACAAGGCAGAGCCTGTCTTGGCTCAGCAAGCCAAGCACTTCTCAGCCCTGCAGCAAGAAACAGCCTCAGTCACTGCAAATATAGATTGTTTGGTTAAAAAAAAAAGTTTTGTCTGTTTCTGCATAATCAATATATAGCTTTAAACAAAACAGGGCTGAGGAGTCAGAGCTGCAAGCAGCCATCCTCAAGCATGAAAAGGTGTCCGGCCGAGTCCAGCAAAGACAAGCCAAGATATTAAACTTGTTTAAGGCGCCTTGATTCTTGGAAACTGAATGTGTGAATATAAGGTCCAAAGTTTAATTTTTCGTTGTCATTTTATAGGTTCAACATTTCAAAGTCTAACATTCGAACTCCAGAAACACTATTCTTAAACACATCTCAGCTATCTCCATCAAATTTATTTTAAAATTCTTGCTCTTCAAGTCCAAATGCCAACATATTCCACACTTCACATTCCCTTAAGACTAACAAGTAGTCTTCCATAAACTCATCTTAGCCTAGCATGACTTATTTTTGAAAGCAAATTATTCCTTTGTAAAAAGAAATCTTCCTTAGATGCTTCCCCCACCGAAATGTCTGATTTTCTTTACTCCACCCTGAACCTAAAAATACTTTTTGCCCAGAGTACCTTTGAGAATTGAGAACCTCTCCCCCGATTTGAGAAATGATTCTCTAAAGAATTGCAAATATAGAAGCAAATTCTGTTCCCTTTGATTTCCATTTTTCCGTAAAAAAAATTTTTTAAAAAAATCCCATTGGAAAGTCTTGTAAAGCAAAGGTTAAAATGCAGTATTGTCTAGGGCGCAGTGTGGGTCACTAGCAAAGTTAATATACTTATTGGGAATAGTAATTCCAAATCTTGTGTTCATGGTCTTTCAAATCCTTTAACAAAAGATTTTCTCCAATAATAAACGGGCTCCTCAGTTACAGACTCCCAAACTTGCTACCTCTTCTTCTTTTAGTCAAACATCATCCTTTCTAGTGTTACATTAATTATCCCATCTTAAGCCGGAGTTGTCAACTTAGTCCTAGTACAGGACAACCAAAATAAGCTTAAGGAGTGATATATTTGCTGCCATCTTACTTTTCCTCATTTTATGCCTCCAGTTAGCTGACATGATACTGACTGATTATTTAAGATATGACACTTTCTAAGGCTACCTGCCTTGTGAATTGGAGGCTACCTTGACAACAGATACCCAAAGTGTTGTAAATAGCTGCCACTTGGCCTTGCAAGGAGGTGAAAGATAAAAAAGACCATTTGTGCCACTATGTAAGAACTGTCTAACAACATTCACCAGACTGAAAATATCTAAACAAATTAGTTTCAATTCTGTAAGCTTGAATCTATCTTCTACTTTAAAGGGAGGTTTATACACTGACATTTTCCTCCCAAAGGTGACCATCTTGCTTTCGTAAAAGGAGGTAGCTATCAAATCATTAAATTGGCAGCATTTGGCATTCTTGACATTTTAACTATAAGAAAAATAAACTACTAAATATTTCTAAGCAAAAACAAGAGTTCTAGCATAAATTTGTCTTATACTGATGAAGAAATTAACAATACATTTTAGTAACCCAATGAATATATTAAGTTTCAAAAAGTTATTTCAAGAATAACATGGTCAGTTCTATCCCAAAATTAAGAATCTGATTTAAAGATAAGGTGCCAAGAAACTACTCAGACTATTTTGGTGGTTAAAACAACACTTATTTAAGTAATACAATCACACTTCTTTAAACTCAATTGCAGAGATCTACACTTTATTATTTTCAGTGTTAGAGTAAAAGGATAATTTTTAAGGATGGCACTTAAATTCTACCTATTTACCTGTCAACAAATACAGAACTGAACTGTTAGCTGTAAGCACTTTACAAACAGATCCAGGAAACTATGCAAGAGACAATGACATAGCTTAACCAGACTCTGACAGATCATATTTTGACCAACTTGTACAAAGAGAACAGTCATGCCTGTGTGACTAAGGTTCTTTAAACATAACTGCTACATGTGTTTATGATAGCCCCTAGAGTGTGCCAGTTTTCCGTATCAGGGAGGAATTAAAGGATGTGCTCCTAAAAAACTGAGGAAGAAGGGGCTATAAGGAAGGGACTGTGTGGAAGAGTGATGTGTGGGAATACAAATTACTTGTCCTTATGAAGCAACGCCTAAGGTT